CATCGGCGCATGTTCAATGTGGTAGAAATCTCCATGTAAACTGAACGTGCTAGTGAGAAAAAAGCGTATGACACAAAGCTATCGTATGGTAAAAGATTGATAAGTGTTTAGTAGGTATTAAGGGTGTAAAGCTGATCAGATAGAGAAAAGGCATTATTCTTGCTGTGAATAATTTCCTGTAACGTTTTAACACAATGTACATCGGCGCATATCTATTAGGGTCGATCTTACAAATACGGTTACAGTAAGTGATACGGAAAAGGCAGTTCTTGATAAAACGGAAGTGTACCAAGTATACGGCGAACATGATATATGTAGGGGTGTTGACAGTGAGACACAATTTGGAAGGAACCGAAAACAGGCACGGAAACGATTGTGAATTAATTACTCGGAGCAAATTTTTGTGACGGTTTAACACATCTAAATCGTTTTGATCGATCACGCTATGCAAGAGATACTGTGAATCATAGGGAGCTTCATCGCACGGCAAATGTAGTACTGGATAGTCTCAGTGGCATGTAAGGTATCCAGAGAAACTCAGACGCGGATATGACAAATCAAGAACGGAGTCAACTTTTTGACGCACGATTTGTTTACTCCTATTAGTATATAGTAGAGATTCATCCCGTTGTTTGTTGGCGGTGGGTGGGATTCGAACCCTAGACTGGTTAATTTCGTGGCGCGTGACGGTGACAAAAAGCATCGCAGGCCACTTCATCAGGCTCACCCGTATGAGTCCTGCGACGGACGTCTCAATAAAGCCGCTCTTTCCCTACGGGCGGAGATTATATCGGGTGATCTTTCCAAAATGGAACCGGTGTTTTCACGGTATAGCAAGTACTAGGCCGGCAAGCATAACTCAGTGGGCCGATATTCAAAACCTTATAGGTTCCTATACTGTGGTAGTGGGAATGAGATACTGAAGTATAGCATCAGTGCGGAACGACTAGTGAAAGTATTGTGTGGACATGAGGATGCTGTTGCTGGCCTTTGCCTCAACGCCGAGTGCGATCTAGTCGGTAAGTGAGTTCAGCCCAAAGAGCCGTTTACACCTATTCGCACTAGGTTGCAGTTTGGATGGTACTATAAGAGCTTGTAAAGAGGATATATGCTCGAGAGTCCATCATTGCGTCATGGACACTGGTAAGGCCGGGGACGTCTGGTATTACCCAGTGGCGGTAGCATTTGTACTGAGACGTTCTTGATGGAAGTCCATGATGGTCAGGACTATGTAGTGTATTGAGTTCATCGGCTATTCAATGCCGTACTGAAACCCGAAGGGCTACTGTAATGACCTCCGCCTGCCTTGTTGATGCACCAGTAGTGTATCTTCAACTGGCTTGGCGGCAGGAGGGCTGTACTCAGTGAGAGAGGGTCACCCCTGGTCGTTGACGAAGAGATAGGATTTCTTGGGCGTCGGCAATTGTGATGGAGGGGACCGCTAGGAGTCCTCTGTGGTGGGGAAGGGGTTCGGCTGTATATAGTAGCGCAAGGTAAGGTCGGAAGGTGAAGCGGTATGGCTTTGCAGCTTTGCAAAGTGGAAGAGAGGCTATCCTCATTAGTACTGTGTAAATGATGGCCACTTAGTTTCTTCAATATTGCAGTTAGATCGGCATGTGATCCTGGAAAGAATCCCGGCATCGATGGTCAAGTCCTTAGGAGCTTCCTCGAGTATCTTGTCACCGCGTAGTTGAAAGTAAATTGACTCGAGCTAGCAGCGAGGGTTGCAAATAGCTCGGTCAAGTGATGGGAAGATTCGTGCATTGCCATGACGCTGGCGTTGTTGCTCTTTCTACCCTTCAAGTTGTTGTGTTTGAGTATTTGTTTCTAGTCCGCAGTATTTTCGAACGGCTATGCTGCGTCGAGCACTCTCCGGCGGAGCTGTGAGGCTGTCTGCTGCTGCCGCCGCTGCCTCTGCTGTGGAGCCATTGAGGAGGACTGCGCTGTAGTGACGACTCCTTGCTCATCAGTAGGGCTATGCGAAGGCAGGTACGACTTCCATATTGCCCAGGGTGGGAAGATGGTGGACTTCGCCGGGTGGAGCATGCCTGTCCAGTATAAGGATACCGGCATCATCACTAGCTGCCTCCACACAAGGTGGTGGTGGTAGTAGTAGCAGTAGGGCTTATACCATCGTTGTCAGGGCGGATGCCTCCCTGTTCGACGTCTCCCATATGGGCCAGCTACGAGTATATGGCAAGGATAGGGTTCGCTTTATGGAGTCCCTAACAGTAGGAGACCTGCAGATACTCAAACCAGGGGAAGGTGAGGTTCACCGCATAATCCTGCTGCTGCTAAGGGTTTACCGCGCGCCATAAAATTCATCTCGTCAGGGAGGCTCACGCTGATCACAACACCTCAGTCTACCATAATTGACGACACGGTTATATGCAACGAAGGGGATCATCTCTATGTGGTACTTAATGCCAGTAATACCGAGAAGGATATGAAGCATATTGTAAGCAGAGGAGGTCACTCCCTCACTGCTATGCTTGTTGTTGCACCAGGAGACCGCCTTGGCAGACTTCGATGGTGATGTTAGTCTTGAACCACATCCCGAGGCCTCCCTCATAGCCTTACAGGGCCCTAAGGCGATGGAAGTGCTCCAGCCCATGCTAGCTGAGGACCTCACAAAGGTAACATTCGAGTTTTACTTGTTTTACTGGAAGTGGCGAAATACTTCATGTGAAAAATGTGATATTCGCGATATGAAGTGGATTGGAAACACTTCGCGAATTACATCGGACAAATCACCCCATCGCACGTGGAATACATCACGTGTTTTACGCGTTATTCACTGCTTACACGCGTTCTTCGCAAAGTTTTTCATATCACGGGTGAGATCCAGTTGCCCTGTCTCTATATATCATTGTAGGTGCCGTTTATGGTATCTTTCGCCGCTACAGTGAATGGTGTACCCAACGTTACAGTCACCCGTTGTGGGTATACTGGAGAGGACGGCTTTGAGTTGTCTATTCCGACCTCAGAAGGAGTCAATGCTATAGCGGAGAAAATGATAGAGAACGAGGTCACATAGTGGCCTTATGGGGAGTTGTTCATAAGGATCTCCGTTAGGCTGTCCTCCCAGCAGGACTAGGAGCTAGGGATACCCTCCGTATCGAAGCGGGTCTATGTCTGTATGGCCATGACATTTCTGAAACTACTACAAGTGAGGACTCAATCAGGCAGGGCTTGCTGGTGGGGGAACCGTCGTGTTAGTCGCTGAGGCAGCATTGTCCTGGACGGTGTCGAAGCGCCGTCGCAATGAAGCAAACTTCCCGGGAGCTGATGTGTTCTTGAAGCAAGTAAAGAAAGGTAACTTCGACGGTAGTCGCTTAGGCAGTATGCAGGGGCCTCGGCGGTAGGTGGAGTAGATCGCAAACGAGTGGGGTTACTGGTGACAGGCCCACCTGCTAGAGAGGGCAGTACGATACTGGATACTGAT